AGTGAAAAATCATATTTTTAGTGAAAAATCATTTTTTTTAGTGAAATATCACATTTTTAGTGAAAAATCATATTTTTTTAGTGAAAAATCACTTTTTTAGTGAAATATCACATTTTTAGTGAAAAATCATATTTTTAGTAAAAAATCATATTTTTTTAGTGTAAAATCACATTTATAGTAAAAAGTCCTACTTTTAGTGACAAATCATATTTTTTAAGAGAAAAATCACTTATTTAGTGAAATATCACATTTTTAGTGAAAAATCATACTATAGACTAGACTATAGACTAGACTACAGACTAGACTATAGACTAGACTATAGACTAGACTACAGACTAGACTATAGACTAGACTACAGACTAGACTATAGACTAGACTATAGACTAGACTACAGACTAGACTATAGACTAGACTATAGACTAGACTACAGACTAGACTATAGACTAGACTATAGACTAGACTATAGACTAGACTATAGACTAGACTATAGACTAGACTATAGACTAGACTATAGACTAGACTATAGACTAGACTATAGACTAGACTATAGACTAGAATATAGACTAGACTACAGACTAGACTATAGACTAGACTACAGACTAGACTATAGACTAGACTACAGACCAGACTATAGACTAGACTACAGACTAGACTATAGACTAGACTACAGACTAGACTATAGACTAGACTATGGACTAGACTACAGACTAGACTATAGACTATGGACTAGACTATAGACTAGACTATAGACTAGACTATAGACTAGACTATAGACTAGACTATAGACTAGACTATAGACTAGACTATAGACTAGACTATAGACTAGACTATAGACTAGACTATAGACTAGACTATAGACTAGACTATAGACTAGATATAGACTAGACTATAGACTAGACTATAGACTAGACTATAGACTAGATATAGACTAGACTATAGACTAGACTATAGACTAGACTATAGACTAGACTAGACTATAGACTAGACTATAGACTAGACTATAGACTAGACTATAGACTAGACTATAGACTAGACTATAGACTAGACTATAGACTAGACTATAGACTAGACTATAGACTAGACTATAGACTAGACTATAGACTAGACTATAGACTAGACTATAGACTAGACTATAGACTAGACTATAGACTAGACTATAGACTAGACTACAGACTAGACTATAGACTATGGACTAGACTATAGACTAGACTATAGACTAGACTATAGACTAGACTATAGACTAGACTATAGACTAGACTATAGACTAGAATATAGACTAGACTATAGACTAGACTATAGACTAGACTATAGACTAGACTATAGACTAGACTATAGACTAGACTATAGACTAGACTATAGACTAGACTATAGACTAGACTATAGACTAGACTATAGACTAGACTATAGACTAGACTATAGACTAGACTATAGACTAGACTATAGACTAGACTATAGACTAGACTATAGACTAGACTATAGACTAGACTAGACTATAGACTAGACTATAGACTAGACTATAGACTAGACTAGACTATAGACTAGACTATAGACTAGACTATAGACTAGACTATAGACTAGACTATAGACTAGACTATAGACTAGACTATAGACTAGACTATAGACTAGACTATAGACTAGACTATAGACTAGACTATAGACTAGACTATAGACTAGACTATAGACTAGACTATAGACTAGACTATAGACTAGACTATAGACTAGACTATAGACTAGACTATAGACTAGACTAGACTATAGACTAGACTAGACTATAGACTAGACTAGACTATAGACTAGACTAGACTATAGACTATAGACTATAGACTATAGACTATAGACTATAGACTATAGACTATAGACTATAGACTATAGACTATAGACTAGACTAGACTATAGACTAGACTAGACTATAGACTAGACTAGACTAGACTAGACTAGACTAGACTATAGACTAGACTAGACTAGACTAGACTAGACTATAGACTAGACTAGACTATAGACTAGACTATAGACTAGACTATAGACTAGACTATAGACTAGACTATAGACTAGACTATAGACTAGACTATAGACTAGACTATAGACTAGACTATAGACTAGACTATAGACTAGACTATAGACTAGACTATAGACTAGACTATAGACTAGACTATAGACTAGACTATAGACTAGACTATAGACTAGACTATAGACTAGACTATAGACTAGACTATAGACTAGACTATAGACTAGACTATAGACTAGACTATAGACTAGACTATAGACTAGACTATAGACTAGACTATAGACTAGACTATAGACTAGACTATAGACTAGACTATAGACTAGACTATAGACTAGACTATAGACTAGACTATAGACTAGACTATAGACTAGACTATAGACTAGACTATAGACTAGACTATAGACTAGACTATAGACTAGACTATAGACTAGACTATAGACTAGACTATAGACTAGACTATAGACTAGACTATAGACTAGACTATAGACTAGACTATAGACTAGACTATAGACTAGACTATAGACTAGACTATAGACTAGACTATAGACTAGACTAGACTAGACTATAGACTAGACTATAGACTAGACTATAGACTAGACTATAGACTAGACTATAGACTAGACTATAGACTAGACTATAGACTAGACTATAGACTAGACTATAGACTAGACTATAGACTAGACTATAGACTAGACTATAGACTAGACTATAGACTAGACTATAGACTAGACTATAGACTAGACTATAGACTAGACTATAGACTAGACTATAGACTAGACTATAGACTAGACTATAGACTAGACTATAGACTAGACTATAGACTAGACTATAGACTAGACTATAGACTAGACTATAGACTAGACTATAGACTAGACTATAGACTAGACTATAGACTAGACTATAGACTAGACTATAGACTAGACTATAGACTAGACTATAGACTAGACTATAGACTAGACTATAGACTAGACTATAGACTAGACTATAGACTAGACTATAGACTAGACTATAGACTAGACTATAGACTAGACTATAGACTAGACTATAGACTAGACTATAGACTAGACTATAGACTAGACTATAGACTAGACTATAGACTAGACTATAGACTAGACTATAGACTAGACTATAGACTAGACTATAGACTAGACTATAGACTAGACTATAGACTAGACTAGACTAGACTAGACTAGACTAAGACTAGACTATAGACTAGACTATAGACTAGACTATAGACTAGACTATAGACTAGACTATAGACTAGACTATAGACTAGACTATAGACTAGACTATAGACTAGACTATAGACTAGACTATAGACTAGACTATAGACTAGGACTATAGACTAGACTATAGACTAGACTATAGACTGGACTATAGACTAGACTATAGACTAGACTATAGACTGGACTATAGACTAGACTATAGACTGGACTATAGACTAGACTATAGACAATAGACTAGACTATAGACTGGACTATAGACTAGACTATAGACAATAGACTAGACTATAGACTAGACTATAGACTAGACTATAGACTAGACTATAGACTAGACTATAGACTAGACTATAGACTAGACTATAGACTAGACTATAGACTAGACTATAGACTAGACTATAGACTAGACTATAGACTAGACTATAGACTAGACTATAGACTAGACTATAGACTGGACTATAGACTAGACTATAGACTGGACTATAGACTAGACTATAGACTAGACTATAGACTGGACTATAGACTAGACTATAGACTGGACTATAGACTAGACTATAGACAATAGACTAGACTATAGACTGGACTATAGACTAGACTATAGACAATAGACTAGACTATAGACTGGACTATAGACTAGACTATAGACTAGACTATACTAGTCTATACGTTCCAACTTGAAGAATGAAAAAGTGTTTTATAAAGTATAGGATTATTTTAATACATTCTAAAAAATTAATTTCTTGTTCGATTTTCCAAGACCTAGAAATCAAAATTTTACTTAAAACGAACAGAGAAATAATATGAGGAATAATAGCTTTCAAACCCAACTGCTACAAAAATACCCAATTGCTTTAAAGAAAATAAATATTTATTTATACATATTTAAATTTTATATTTATTGTTTTATATATTTAGTTTTCTAATTTCTTATTCCCTATTAATAAATTTACAAAATCCCCATATATCTCTGATAAAAAATCCCCTACAAATATGGTTTAGAACACAATATTTAATTAACTTGATTATTTATTTAATTACAACTATTAATATTTTAATTATTTTAACAATTTCTTAATGTTTATTGATTTCTTATGAGATTTTCTTTTTTTTTTTTTGCGTTTTACCTTTTATTGATCCACTTGAATTATTTTGTCCGGGCGATTGTACATTACTTTGTCCCAATGTGTTGGCGTGTGCTTCCAGTTTGGATGTAACGCTGTTCCACATATCAAACATGCGTTGCGTATACATTTTATTTAATGTTTTTTTTTTTGTTTTGTTTTCTTGTATTTTAATTTATTTACTTGTTGTTGTTAAGTGTTTTAAGTAAAAAAAAATGTTGGTTGTTTAAAGTTAAAACTTATAAAGAGAGTTTTGTTTTATTTTATTTTGAATATTTCTTTAGTTTAGTTATTAATTAATTTTTTTTAATAATAATGTTTTTTTATTTTTTAATATAATTTTGTTTTTACTAATATTATTCACAAAATTTTTGTTTTAAGGCATATATAAGTTTTTTTTGTTGTTGTTGTTATTTATTAATATTATTTGTTTATGTTGGTAAAAAAAAGAAAAGAAATTGTTTACAATTTACTTTTGTTTTATAAGATTTTTAACAAATCGTATTTGTTTTATAAGGGTTTTTTTTATTATTATTTTGTATAAAATAAATAAATGCTAATTTCTAATTGTTTAATTATAATTATTTGTTTGTTGTTGTGTTTTAATATGGAAACATTTGATGTTTTCTTTTTTTAATAATTTTTCTATTTTTGTTTTTTTAAGGCCCTTTTAAATTGGGGGCTAACATTGCACTTGGTTTTATGAGGGGGGAGTTTTAAAATTATTTTTTTTAATAATAAATGCCAATTTGTGTTGTTGTTTATTATAATAAATTGTTGCGTTTTTTGTTGTTGTTGTTATAAATATTATTTAATATTGGTTTTTGTTATAAATTTAACTTGAATTTGATGTGAAATACTAGTATCACAGTCCTCTATTATTTTTTTTGTTTTTGTTTTAAAGGTTGTATATATAATTTTATTATAATTATTTTAGCTAATTTTTTATATATTTTTTTTTAATTTATTTAATGAAGTGATAGGTACAAATTTGGTTTGAATTATTTATAATTTATTGATTTTGTTTTTATTTATATGTTTTATGTATATAATTTTTGTTGTAGTTGGTTTAAATTTATTTAGGGTTGTTGTATTTGCTAATTTTTATTATTTTTTTATTTTATTTTTTGTTTAAGACACTTGTTCTGATTTATTTTTTTTTTATATAAATTTCTTAAAATTTATTTTAAATTATTTTATAAATTTCTTTTTAAAGCCTTGATTTTGGATAATTTTTTTTATTATTTTAATAGGGTTTGGTTTATTTTAGTATTTTTGTTGTTTATTTTTATTAAAAAGTTTAGAAAATTTATTCCAAATAACCGAAAGTTTTAGAAGTCTTAGTTAATAATTGAAAGTTTTGAGTAAATACCAGTATTTTTTTTTTTCAATTACATTGCAAATTCAAGTTGACACCTTTTCCTCCTCGCCTCTAAAAAGAGGTTTAAGTTTATATTAATTTCTTTGTCAATTTTATTAAGTGAAATTATATTTAAACACTAATCTCAAACAAAAATTTTGAAAACGAACTTAAAAGCAACTTAAAGATCTTTAGAAGAGTTTTTGTTGAGGCTTTTTCTTAACTTTGTTCATACTTTCTTTTAAAATGAATCATTTAAATTGTTCATATCACACACACACGCACACACACACATGGAATGTGTTTTCAACATTCCCTAAGTAAAGTTGGCAGTAGAAGAGATACAACAAATAAATGAATTAATGATTGATTTGCTAAATGTATCTGTAACTGTAGCTGTGTAGCTGTAGCTGTGTATCTGTGTCTGTCTGTCTGTAAGTATGTGTACTTAGAAAGTTTCAGCTAAATTTGTGTAAAATTTCAATTTGATTTTTCATCAAATTGTTGTTAGCTGTTGTTGTGGCTGTTGTTGCTGTAGTGGTTATATTGCTTTTCTTGTTGTTGTTGTTGTTGTTATTGTTATGTATGATTTTTTTATTATTAATAATTGTTGTATTATTGTTGTTACTATTTAATTTTGTAATAGTTTTATTGTTGTTATTAGTTGTATTTGTATTTTTGCACTTTATCACTTTCACTGTTGTTTTTGTTTTTATAGCTGCAGCAGTTTTAGTTAAAGTTCCTGCTGCTGCTTTAACTGTTGACGATGAATTTGAAGATGTTGTTGCTAAAGAAGTTGCTGTTGTTGTTGTTGTTGCTGTCACAGCCGTTGTTGTAGTGGCTGTTGTTCCTACAAAATTTTGTTTTTGGCTGCTATTAACGCCAGTACTTTTAATCACTTTTGTTATATTACAGTTTGTATTACAATTATTGTTGTTGCTGTTGCTGTTACTGCTTATATTACTACTACTGCTGCTGCTGCTGTTATTATTGTTATTATCATTGTTTTGTCGATTTCTCCGCTTAGTTTGATTCCAAATCAAAATATCCAAAAACACGAAAATTTCACGACTATTTATTCCGGAAGACATTTGGTGGAAATTGGTTTATTTTTTTATTATAAAACACAAATTTTTGCTGTAGTTCCTTTTACTTTTGTACTCCCACGCAAAAACCAAATAATAATAAGAAGAATTTTAATACCCTTTTTTTTGGGTTCTAGTCTCTCTCCGTTTCTTTGTTCTATGTTCTATATAGCATAGGCCTTTAATTAAAGGCCCTTAATGTTTGACCCATAATTACTACCGTTTCTATAACACGGGCATTCTTGCAAAGTTTTTATTATTAGTTTATGTATAAAAAACATTTTGTTAGAATTTATAACACACTCATAACAATAATAATTATAAAACCAACTATTGAAAAGAAATTTAAGAAAATTTTCCTAAAATAAAGAAAAAATTAAAAAAAAAAGAAAAATTTATTAATAAAATAAAATTGAAGTTTGCGTGAAACTTCTATGAAATCGTAGGGATTTTAAACACAACCAGCATCTTATTAGCTCGCGATAGCCACATAGCTTTATAATAAAAGTTTGAAAAGATACCACATCTTCCTTTCTAATGATATAATCTAATATACAGACAAGACTATAATCTTGTCTAAAATCTAGACTTAAGTCTAGTCTAGTTTACCGTCTGGTCTATAGTCCAGTCTAGACTATAGACTAGACTATAGACTAGACTATAGACTAGACTATAGACTAGACTATAGACTAGACTATAGACTAGACTATAGACTAGACTATAGACTAGACTATAGACTAGACTATAGACTAGACTATAGACTAGACTATAGACTAGACTATAGACTAGACTATAGACTAGACTATAGACTAGACTATAGACTAGACTATAGACTAGACTGTAGACTAGACTATAGACTAGACTATAGACTAGACTATAGACTAGACTATAGACTAGACCATAGACTAGACCATAGACTAGACTATAGACTAGACCATAGACTAGACTATAGACTAGACTATAGACTAGACTATAGACTAGACTATAGACTAGACTATAGACTAGACTATAGACTAGACTATAGACTAGACTATAGACTAGACTATAGACTAGACTATAGACTAGACTATAGACTAGACTATAGACTAGACTATAGACTAGACTATAGACTAGACTATAGACTAGACTATAGACTAGACTATAGACTAGACTATAGACTAGACTATAGACTAGACTATAGACTAGACTATAGACTAGACTATAGACTAGACTATAGACTAGACTATAGACTAGACTATAGACTAGACTATAGACTAGACTATAGACTAGACTATAGACTAGACTATAGACTAGACTATAGACTAGACTATAGACTAGACTATAGACTAGACTATAGACTAGACTATAGACTAGACTATAGACTAGACTATAGACTAGACTATAGACTAGACTATAGACTAGACTATAGACTAGACTATAGACTAGACTATAGACCAGACTAGTCTATAGTCTAGTCTATAGTCTAGTATAGTCTAGTCTATAGTCTAGTATAGTCTAGTCTATAGTCTAGTCTATAGTCTAGTCTATAGTCTAGTCTATAGTCTAGTCTATAGTCTAGTCTATAGTCTAGTCTATAGTCTAGTCTATAGTCTAGTCTATAGTCTAGTCTATAGTCTAGTCTATAGTCTGGTCTATAGTCTGGTCTATAGTCTAGTCTATAGTCTAGTCTATAGTCTAGTCTGTAGTCTAGTCTATAGTCTAGTCTATAGTCTAGTCTATAGTCTAGTCTGTAGTCTAGTCTATAGTCTAATCTATAGTCTAGTCTATAGTCTAGTCTATAGGCTAGTCTATAGGCTAGTCTATAGTCTAATCTATAGTCTAGCCTATTGTCTAGTCTATAGTCTAGTCTATAGTCTAGTCTATAGTCTAATCTATAGTCTAGTCTATAGTCTAGACTATAGTCTAGTCTATAGTCTAGGCTATAGTCTAGTCTATAGTCTAGTCTATAGTCTAGTCTAGTAGTCTATAGTCTAGTCTATAGTCTAGTCTATAGTCTAGTCTATAGTCTAGTCTATAGTCTAGTCTATAGTCTAGTCTATAGTCTAGTCTATAGTCTAGTCTATAGTCTAGTCTATAGTCTAGTCTATAGTCTAGTCTATAGTCTAGTCTATAGTCTAGTCTATAGTCTAGTCTATAGTCTTGTCTATAGTCTTGTCTATAGTCTAGTCTATAGTCTAGTCTATAGTCTAGTCTATAGTCTAGTCTATAGTCTAGTCTATAGTCTTGTCTATAGTCTACTTTATAGTATAGTCTATAGTCTAGTCTATAGTCTAGCCTATAGTCTAGCCTATAGTCTAGTCGTAGTCTAGTCTATAGTCTAGTCTAGTCTATAGTATAGTATAGTCTAGTCTATAGTATAGTCTAGTCTATATAGTCTACAGTCTAGACTATTGTCTGGTCTATAGTCTAGTCTATAATCTATTCTCTAATCTAGTCTACAGTCTAGTCTATAGTCTAGTCTATAGACTAATGTATACTCTAGTCTATAGTCTAGTCTATGGACAAGTCTGTCTAATAGGAAATAGTCTATGGTCTAGTCTATAGTCTAGCCTTTAGTATAGACTTTATAGAGTGGACTATATTCTAGTTTATAGTCTGAACTATGGTCTACTATATGGTCCGCTTATCCATTATTTTATCAAGAGCAAATTGAAGTTTTTGTTATAAATTAAAGCCTAAAAATTTTAGCTGAAACTTTTTTTCAGTAAACCTTCCCCAAATGCACTTCACACCCGTGTTTATCACAAAATTTAATGTTATTTAACACGCTTTAAAGACCATTATTTTACATTTTTATTATCTAAGTATCCCTTTTCAAATTTACAAAATTTAATTTAACTGTAAAAACATAAAAAATCCTTTAATGTCTTAATAATCCCTCATTAATTTAGTTTACTTTTTCGCATGTAAAACAAAGAGTGTGTGTGTTTTTGTGTGTCTATGGGTCTGTAAGCCTCAAACTTTCCTTTTATGATTTGTTTTAACTTGAAAAATCGATATGGGGAAAACAGCATAAAAACTACAACAACTACAGCAACAAAAAATGTCATTTTAATATTAAAGCAAAAAAAGGGGTTGGTTACTATATCTTGGCCCCGCAGCGCACCGCACCTAGTCTTAATCGTACAAACCACCATCATCCCCAAATGTAAAAAGAAATAAACACAGAAATTTATAGGAAAAGAACATAAAAAATAGTAAAAAAAAAGCAGAAACAACAACCAGAAGCATTTGTGTTGCAATGGGTGGAGAAATAAAAAAGTTCTATGACCCAGTGGCTTAACATCGTCTCATGTTTTGTTTTGTTGGATGAACAAAACAAAAAAAGATTATTATGCCATGCGGCACAGTGTTGTGTAGGAGAATATAATGCGGAAAATGTTTTCAAAGGACTTTATATTTAAATGGTAAAGATCGATAGCAAATTTTTACTTCTATTTACACCTGCACCCGTATAAAAGTTCTGGTGACACATATTGAATTTCAAATTGTCATTTTGGCAAAAAGAATATTTAAACTAACCAGCAAATACATTTTTTGAATAACCAATATTTTCTCTTGCCCAACAACACAATTTCCAATACTACATACTGTCCTCATTACATAGAAGTAGTTAAGTAATGACTTATTAATAATGTGAGCGTTATCGCTTATTTTCATCTATTGATAGTCGTAAGTAATTGTCATATGAAAACATTTGCCACATTTTATTTCAAATATTAATTTTAAGCAAATTTTGGAACTAATACATTTTATTCCTTTTTGTTTTTGCATTACAACTCCGACTACTGCTGCATAATTTGTAAACACAAATAGTTGTTGCCACTAAAAAGTTTTTTTTTGCTATTATATTGCTTATGACCCCGTAACACTGTGAACCGCATTGCATACCGGTATCCATCCACATTTACATACAACAATACATATACATTTACACCAAAAAAAAAACATCAACAAATATAATAATAATAATAAAAAACTAAAATAAAACGGCATGGTTTTTCTTTATTTTTTTATGTATTATTTTTGTTGTTTTAATCGCATAGTAAGGAAATCTACATATAACAACAACAATAACAAAAATAAAGTATTTGCCCCACAACGCATGTATACGTCATCATTGATTTTCATGTGGCACACAGACACCAACAACAACACGAAACATAACAACTACAACAAATCAAAACGACTAAAGCAACCACCAAATTACAACAAGAAAACATAAAAGAAAAGAGAGCTTGATAGAGGGAGCCCCAGTCAGCGAAAGAGAGTGCATGTGTACAGGAACATAAAAATGATTTATTTATTGTATACACGTTACATACTTACAATACATATATAAATATATATGTAAATGTAAAAATGTATGTGTGTTTGTATTAACTCAGTCCCCAACAACTAGTGTATATATATGTATGTAACGTTAGAAAGCTGTATAAACCCACTGGCATGAAAAGCTAAACTAACCCAAAAAAAAACAGACCCAAACAGAAGAAGAAATGTTTTAAAGAGTAGAGTGAAAAGTGCAGTGAGAAAAATTTGAATGGGGGTTTTTGGGGAAAAATTTTTTAAAGGTATTTTTTATTAATCATGTTTTTGCTTCTAAGTAGGTAAACTAAAATTTTCCAAAATGAAATTAAACAATATTTAGTACACTAATACAACTTCGCCTATGGATCCATCTAGAAATTTGGAAATTTTGTACATGTAATATTTTCAGATGTTCTGTACAATTTAGTAACATTTGCGCTAGACGCCTAGTTATTGGATCTGAATATATATATATATATATATATATCTTTTTTCACCTATGGATCCATCTACAAATTTGGGAAATTTTTTACATATAATATTCTCAGATGGTCCGTAGAATTTATCTATCTATCTATCTATCTATCTAGCTATCTATCTATCTACTATCTATCTATCTATCTATCTCATCTATCTATCTATCTATCTATCTATCTATCTATCTATCCTATATATCTATCTATATATCTAATCTATCTATCTATCTATCTATCTATCTATCTATCTATCTAGCTATCTATCTATCTAGCTATCTATATATCTATTATCTATCTATCTATCTATCTATCTATATATCTATCTATCTATCATCTATCTATCATCTAGCTATTAGATCTTATCTATCTATCATCTATTCTATCTATCTATCTATCTATCTGCTATCTATCTCTATCTATTTATCTCCTCTGGACTGTTAGTCAACGTCCTCGCTGCGCTTTCGAATGTTTTCTGCTGACGAAGCCATTCTGGTGGTCTCTAATTAACTTGTTAGACAAATAATTTCACGAACGTTCATAAGGAGAACTACATACCTGGAGATTTAATTGGA